CTGAAACCTGGAGCCCAAACTCCTGGGAATCCTTATCCACGACCCATTAGGTGCCCATCCATTTTTTAAAAGAAAATTATTTTATTTTGTTTAAATCAATAATGTTTCCTGTAAAAATAAGAAAGGAAAAAATATAAAAGTAGAAATGTAGTACAGTAAAGCAGTAACTTTACCATAGAGAATATCTGATAACATATCCTATCTAATAAAAGGCTAATATGCAAATTGACTGAAGGTTGGGGCGAACAATTGCTATGATGCATACTTAACACCAGGGGGCAGATGCTCACCTCAGGAGCTGCCCCCTAGTGGTCAATATGCTCCCACAAGGGAGCACTGCTCAGCCAGAAACTGGGCTCAAGGCTGGCGAGCACAGTGGCAGTGGCGGGAACCTCTCCCACCTCCGCAGCAGTTGGACATCCCCTGAGGGCTCCCGGACTATGAGAGGGCACAGGCCTCTAGTTGGTATATAATTTTTGTGTGGGTATACATATCTATATACAAATAGATACATATACTGTACATATATAAAGTGGAAATTATATATAACATTATATAATCATATATATATATACTAGAGGCCTGGTGCACGAAATTTGTGCACTGGGACATTCTTAGCACTGCTGCAGAGGAGGAAGAGGCTGCCACAGCCTGCCTCCACTGCTGTGCTTGCCAGCTGTAAGCCCAGCTTCTGGCTGAGCAGCGCTCCCCTTATGAGAGCACACTGATCACCAGGGAGCAGCTGCTGCATTGTATGTCTGCCTCCTGGTGGTCAATGCACATCATAGTGACCAGTTATTCCAACATTGGGTTGAAACTGGCCCTCCGACATTCCCCTAGGGGGTCCCAGATTGTGAGAGGGCGAAGGCCAAGCCAAGGGACCCCACCAAGGGGACTTGGGAGGTTGGCCAGCAGGGGAGGGAGCATGGGAGGGCTCCAGGGTGTGTCCAGCCTGTCTTGCTCATTTCCAGTTGGCTGGACCCCAGCAGCAAGCTAACCTACTAGTCAGAGAATCTGCTCCCTGGTGGTCAGTGCACGTCATAGCGAGTAGTTGAGCCATCTTAGCATATCATTAGCATATTACGCTGTGATTGGTTGAATGGTCGGATGACCAGACTGGACAACTGGGTACTTAGCATATAAGGCTTTTATTATATAGGATAACTATGTCAAACTGGGTGTTACAGTATTTTGTAATTTTTTTTCAGTTTTTAAATATTTTAAAAAAGAATTTTGAACATCTTTCCAGGTCATTCAATATTTTTCTTTAACATTAGTTACAAAAGTTGCATAATGTGCCAGTACATATTTATAGCTTTATTATTTTTAACATATTTAAGAAGTTCCCCTTTTTTTACAATAAGCAACACTGTTATATATGTTCCTGAAGTTAAATGTGTGTAAATCTCTCTCGCTAATGCTTTTATTATCATAAGTTTCTACAAGTGGAATTGTTAGATCGAAGGCGCATGAGTTTTTAAGAGTTTTTCATGCAGTTTTTTCTCTCCCACAGCTTTTTCTTAAATTATAGTCTCACCAGGGTCCTATGTTTGTCTATTTCTTTGAACCTGTCAATATTGGGTATTTTTAGTATTGAAACAATTTTCCTACTTCTATTACTAATGAAAAATATTTTTACACATTATAATTAGCATTTAATTTTTTTAAATTAATTTTTATTGATTTCAGAGAGGAAGGAAGAGGGAGAGAGTGATAGAAACATCCATGATGAGAGAGAATCATAGATCGGCTGCCTCCTGCAAGTCCCCCACTAGGGATCAAGCCTACAGCCCGGGCATGTGCCCTTGACCAGAATTGAACCTGGGACCTTTCAGTCTGCAGGCTGATGCTCTATCCACTGAGCCAAACCAGTTAGGACTATTATTAGCATTTTTATTTTTCTGTGTGGTCAGTTGTTTACTCATATGCCTGTGGCTGTATCTATTTGGATGTTTTAAAATAATTTATAAAACCTTTCTATATGTAAAGTCTATTTCCTTTATGCCTGTCTTAAATGTGGCAAATTTTCCTCCAGTTTACATTTACCATTTGTTTGGCTCCTGATGACTTATAAGCATTCATTTTAAAGTGTTTTTCCTTTTATGATTTCTGCCTTTCTTAATGCTTGCAAGTCCTTTGCCTAGAATACTTTTGAGTAGATATTCACCTCTGTGGTCTAGTATTAATAGTACTTTCACGGAATAGAGGAAACACGCTCAGGAATGTATCTGAGATGGGACAGGAGGACTTGGGCTGATGGGATGTGTGGGTGCTAAAGAGGGAGGAGTCACATGTGACCTTGTTCTTACGCCTGGCAGACTTTGGTGAGGGTGCAGCCACTGACTTAAACCAGGAATGCAGGAAAAGGAACAAGCCTGCTAGGGTAGATAATGAGTTCGGTTTTGCACACTTTACACTTGAAATGTCTGCCAGAAAGCCTGGCAGACATGCCCAAAAGGCAACTGGAACAAGGGTATGGAACTCAGGCGTAGCTTGGGGTTTTACTGCAGATATAAAAATATTCAGCAGACATTTCATAGTTTAACATTTTCTTTTCAGTGCACATCCTGGGCCCAACGCGATGCTAATAAGCAATTCACTGCCTTACGTCATGCAGGCTTCCTGACAACTTGAAGAGGTGGAAATTATTATCCTCATTTTACACATGAGTAGACAGGCTTACAGAAGTTAAATTACTTTACTAAGGTCTCACAACAGGTTAGCGGTAAAACTCCGATGTGAAATCAAATAAGTCTGCCTGATTTGCAGAGTTTACTCTCTGGCCCAGTTTGTTCTGTTGCCACAGGAGTGGATGAGCTCAAGCAGGAAAGCCAGAGTCCCTAGGACAGAGACTGGCAGTTAGCAGTAGGCAGAGAAGGGGAGGGAGCAGTGAAGGGATCTTTTAAGAAGGGGAAGGGGAGGAGGAGGGGGAATGAAAGGGGAAGGGGGAGGGGAAGGCTATGTATGTACATGCTGACTGACTGTAACCAGAATCCAAACGTTTTGATGGTAGGGGCTCTTCTCTTACACATTCTTGTCCATAAATCTGAGACCCCCCCTCCTGACCTTACTCCTGAAAAAAAATTTGTCAAGAGTGCTTTGCACATAATTGTGTCTTGATTGGTGCCCTGGATGGTCTGTCAGTAATTTTCTTAAGTTATCCTCTAAGCTAGACCCGTCCCTGTGTCCCCACCTGTCATGGCTGAGGGGCTCATTCACAGGAGCGCCTCAGTGTTACTCAGCTGTGGCCTTCTCAGAGAGCAGCAGAGGTGGCCCCTTGGTTTATGCTGTCTGCATAGGTGGGCTAAGTGACTCCCACAGAAGAAGTCTGAGTTGTTGAGTGAGTGTGGTACAGACCCCTTTTACCTTTGAATCATAGATTTTTGTTTTTCTCTTTTATTGGATGTTTCCCTTCATACTTAGGACTTAGTAAAATAGAATCAGGATCAACCCTTTTTCCTTATAACCTGAATATGCAATAGTGTCACAGAAATCACGCTGGACTTGGATTTTACATGCTAAAGGAGTGTGGTATAGAGGGCAAAGCATGCAGTTAGGAACTAGAATTATAGTGTTTGTTCTGTCACTTCGGACAAATTATTTAAATTCTTTGAACCTCGTTATCCTCCTTACAAAAATAGGGGGCACCTACTAACAGGGTGGTTAAATAAATTAACCAAGATAAAGGGCGTGGCCCATTGTAGGCACCCAGTACAAGGAAGCTGAAACTCTGAGTTCATATAGAATCCTGTTGCTTTAATGCTCTTCTCAAACGCTTGTCTTTTGACCGTTTGGTAGCTAGCTCATTTGTACTCATCTCTGTGGGTGGGTTAGGAGGAAAATGAGTCTTAACTCAGCCATGTCAATTTAATGCAAGTCTAATGTGTGCAGCTATGGCACATAATTTTAATTGGTAATAAATCTGCCGCAAAAAGTTTAGGGCATAAAAATTTTCTTGGTCCAGACTAACAGTGGGTTTAGAAACTCGCCTGCATGATAATCAGTAAAATATCCTATTATAGTTTCTCTTTCTGGGTGGGGAAAACAAAAGCCAAAGTCAAAATTTTTGTGGACTGAAATGTGTTCATTTCAAGCACTTCCCATACAGAAGCTACCTTGGCCTCACTCCAAATAATCTAAAAATTGTTGCCTACCTCCAGACGCCTGCTGCAGTTCTGAATTAATGCTGCATGTAACTCCCATTGCAAGTTAGCACAGGCTTCAGACAAGCCTGCTGGATAAAAGGAGAACTCTTTGAAGGCGGTAGAGAAGTGAGCCTTAGCCTGAACTTGGCAGGCCTATTTATTAAATAGGTGATTTAGGAGATGTTTCAAATGCCGCTCTTCGTTGTAGAGCTCATTGGAGAGGTCTGTCTGCTTCAGGAATAAACATCCTGTGGAAGAGCTGGCCTGCCCTGTGGTTTGCTGTAATTATTAATAGGGGCCCCTTTCACTCTCGAGAGTCCCCGTTTGTCTGATAAATGTTGTGGTCATTCCTTACTGGTCCTTTTCAGAGCAAAGCCCAACTCTTTGAAGATATAATCTCTGCCTTGATCTAAGAAAAATGACCTTAGTTTCCTATAACAGACTCTTTGGCGCCCTCTCTTATAGCCATTAGAGTATGTCCTCAGAGCAATAATTAAGAGCCACATATGCTAATGACGTTCTTCCTGTGGTGCTCTTCTTGGTGAAAGCAAGTGAGGGAAAGTCATAGGGACTCATCTGATACAGCAGCCTTTCGGGGCTGACGGAAGCCAAGGCTGTAGGCTCCATCCTGAAACCCCGCCCCATCTGTAGCTGCGAAATGCGACAACGAAATAGAAATGGAGGACAAAAAGCGACTGGATATAGAGTTCAAATCTACGCTTATAAGGTTTTGATACAGCAGCCCTAATCATGTTTATGCTGACAGAGCAATTCCCAGTCCTTAGTTACCGGTACTTGCAAGAATATGTACCCACATTAGATAGTGAGGAATGAAGACGCAGAGAGATCTGACAGTTCCTTCTGGAATGCCATTCCACGCTTGAAGTCAGATCACTCCCTGGTCTTACACACCTTTTGCAGACTTGAGTCATCTGCCTGCCTCTTCTTCAGGAGAGGGTGTGCTGTGGTGTGTCAACTTAGGGGCAGAAAGATTGTCAAAACATCATTAGAGATGCTCTGAGGGTTCCTATGGTGAAAGCAGAATGGCTGCTGGGAGGAGGAGCCACTTGGCAGGACCCCAGCCACTCACTAAGGAAAGAGGGAGGGCGGCTTGTCAGGGTGGAGCCAGGCATCCGCCTGAAGATTCTGAAGCAGATTGGGGCAGGTGGCTTCTTGAGAAGCCTTGTCATGTGAGGGTGGAGGAAGGAGGAGGAAAGATGATCTACCTGTTTGCTAATGTCCTTTTGTCTCAACAGCTCCGGCCTGAATCTGGTTTCTATTCTGTCCCCAGTTGCATGGCTTCCTATCTGCAGCCCAATTCTGAGAAAAGGAAAGAAGGTCAAAGCAAGGCAAGGGAACACAGAAAGGTTTGCCCTGGCGGGGGGGGGGGGGGGGGGCGGGGGACACATGCTTGGAGAGCCTTCACCTGGGGAAAAGGTGCACCAGCCCAGGAGAGAACAGATCCGTGGGACCAGAAGAGAACGATGGTACGATGTTTGCTTCCAAATGGTCCTTTCGCAGCCTTTCTCCCAAGTCTCCCCAGGAGCAGGTGGAGCTCGGGACAGAAAGTTTCACCTCCTGGGTAATGGTGCCGTGGTGGAGGGGATTAGAACGAATGGGGTGCTCCTCCTTCCAGAGGGTGTCTGGAAGAGCCAGAATTCTGACATCCTAGTTGAAAATACTCCCCAGAGATCGTGACCCAGTTCCCTCATTTTACCTGAGGATGCTCAGGTTCAGAGTTCTTGAGTGACCTTTACCAAGATTTCACTGAACGGCTAACCTGGGTGCTCACCACGCCACGGAAGTCTAGAGGATTTTAAAAGTACAAATGGAGAGTCATTTCTTCCCACTCTGAAGAACTGTCATGAGACCTGAATGCATGACTCTGGAAACAAGCTGCACAGACTTCCTGCTGGCGGGAGCTTGCTCACAGGGACGCCCCTGCTGTCCCTGACCAGGATCTCCTGTCCCCAGGGAAGCAGTGAGCTGAAACCTTAGGGACCATTTCTTCATTTTTGTATTCTTTTAAAAAGTGTATTGATTTGAGAGAGAGAGAGAGAGAGAGAGAGAGAGAGAGAGAGAGAGAGAGAGAGAGAGAGATTAGTTGTCTAACTTATTTATGCATTCATTGGCTGATTCTTGTATGTGCCCTGACTGGGGATTGAACCCAAAAACTTGACTTATGGGAACAGTGCTCTAACTAACTGAGCTACCTGGCCAGTGTAATCCTGTATTCTTTTGCTAAAAGAGTCTCCTTCCCCCTAATTTTTATAAGCTTCAGGTCCCAGAAAACCTGAATCTTGGCCTGCCTGTCCCACATAATAAATCTAAACATCTGATGCTCCAACATTCTCTCCCGATCAGAAGAGATCAGGTGAGCCTGAGGATGACTCAGCCGAGGCCGCTGGGAAAACAGGCTGTGGCCTGTGAAAAAGTTGGGTCAGGCATAGCATTTGAGGGCTGGCTCACGTTATGGCTCAAACTTTCACCCCCTCCTTGTTTCTATCACCATTCCCTCCTTGCCCAGACCAGACTTGCCTTTCAGATCTACAGAACTGGGATTTTGGATCTGGCAAGAGTCTTATTTTGTCATCATCCCTCCTTTTGTAGGCTCTGAGAATGGCTAAAGCACCTCAGGTTTGTGAATTCCCCTCCCTGCAAAGCAAAGCTACCGTGTTGGCCAATACGTCAGCAGGTAGGAACAATACTTGGCTCACTTGTTAGATATAATCTGCCTGGTGTGTCCCTGTGTGGGTGGAAACCAAGGCGTGATGACTACCTATCTCAGTATCAATAAACACAAACCACTGCAAGTCTGTACACCTTCAGTGTCCCTTATGAACCAAGCTTCCGAGTTACCCTCTGAGAGGAGAGACGATAAGATACAGTGCCTGTCCACAGTGCGTATGTTAGAGAACATGGAATGAAAAGCTTGTCCCTCATTTGATATGAATAGCTACCAATTATTCAGCACCTACCATATTGTATTATATTTTCCACATTGCATTCTATTTTCTCTAGTCTTCTCAACAACTCGCTAAGGCAAGTATCAGCCTCCTGTTGATATGGAAACTGAGGCTCAAAGAGCTCAAGTGATTTGTGCAGGCCAGGCATCGAGGGCAGCCCTCAGCTCTGGGAGGCTAAATGTCAGAGGAAGACAGAAGTCAAGGATGTTGCAAACCTTCCATTCTTGGTTTCACACAGGCCTGGGTTGAAATCTTAGTTCTAGCACTTGTCACTTGCGGGGCCTTGGGAAAGCTGCTCCCTGTCTTGGCTTCTTCATAAGACAACTGGAAAGATGAAATGAGAGGAGGTGAGCATTGCTCATTTCCCCAGAACGTTTGGGTGCAAAGTGACTCATTTTGGCAGAGCATGCTCATCCCCTTGATCCCGTGCCACTTCCTCACCAACTTCAGCTTTTTACCTTCTCCACCTTCTCAGTGAGACCTTCCCTATCCAAAAGGCCAACCCCACCCCAACTCTCCTTATCCCCTTTCCTACTTTAATCACCAAGTAATATATTAAAAATTGTACTTATTTATTTTTGTCTGTCTTGTCTGTCTCTACCCACAGAAGGTGGAGTTTTTGACATTTAGAATCTGTATTTTTTTCTGTATCATCCCAAGCACAAATACAGATTGGTTAAAAGAATGAATGAAAACAAAACTAAACAAAAACCCCAAAACTTTTTGACACCAAAAGAAATTGGCTTTTTCCTCACTACCTCTTTTCCCGGGCTGGGGGTGGGGGGAAGCCTTGGTTTCCTTATTTGCAAAATAATGGTTTCTATTTTGAAGACTGCTGGGATGATTAAGTGACATGTGTATAAAAACTGGCACATAGCAAGTGCTGAATAAATGCCTGCTATCATCACTCAAAATAATCTGACCAGTTGTTTAATGAAACTCAAGGAAACCATCTGTCAATGGAACTCAGATCTGAAGTGTCCAGCCTCAGTGTTTCAGCCCAGTTGTCTTCCGGGTTGGACCATAAACAGTCGAATAGGTGTGAAATCGCCCCGTGTTACAATCCAAGGCGGCTGTTAGGTTTGCTTCACTGTTACAGTCTCACTACTGAAGGCAGCTCAAATGACTTGCCCAAGATCACTGCCTCAAAAGCCAGGGCATGTAGGATCTGCACAAATCCAGCCTCCTGAAAGTATACATTACACTGTCCCTTCTTCCAGGTTCTCTCTACAAGGTGGGAGGGTGGCACTAGTCTTCAGCCAGGCTTGTCACTATCATCTCCTGCCATTCACATAACTTTTTTGACACCCAGTTTTATGGCTCGCATAAATGCAAAATAAAAAATCCACTCCTCACAGCTTTGTGGCCAGGAGCACCAGCGCGGAAAACTCTTTGGAAACTGTGCCGCGCTGTGTGCATTACCCCTGCAAGAGGCAGTCACACGGAACCCCCAACTTTCCAGTCCCAGAGCCGCTGCTGCATGCACTCCTAAACCAGCCGGGCGAGGAGTAGAAAGGAGGCTTAACCCCTGAGTTAGTCTGGGCGTTTCTCCTGGAGGCCGGGGAGGAGTTCCGCCCCCGCCCCCTCTCCCGCCCCGCCGCCTCCCCTCCCCTCCCCGCGCTCCACGAGGCTCTCTCCCGCCCAGGCCCCGCTGCGCTCCCGGCCAGGCAGGCTCGGCACTCCACGGGCGGGCAGCCAGGATGCAGGCGGCCAACAAGGAGCACCTGTACAAGCTGCTGGTAATCGGCGACCTGGGCGTGGGCAAGACCAGCATCATTAAGCGCTACGTGCACCAGAACTTCTCCTCGCACTACCGGGCCACCATCGGCGTGGACTTTGCGCTCAAGGTGCTGCACTGGGACCCGGACACCATGGTGCGCCTGCAGCTCTGGGACATCGCAGGTGAGAGCCCGGGAAGGAGGATCCCAGCCCCCAGCAGAGGGGGAAGGAGGATCCCAGCCCCCAGCAGAGGGGTGGCGGCCCAGGGGGAGAGCCAGGTGGAGACATACTCTGGGGGCGCTGCGCCGGAAGGGACTTTTTCCCGGTGGGTTGGAAACTTGGTTGCAAAGAGAAAAAAAAAAAGTTTCTTGGCTGCTGGAACCACCTCCCATGCCCTGTCCGGGGAGCCGTCAGCCCTGCGCTGGCCTCTCTTGTATTCAGTTCTTGGCCTCCAGCTCATTTTCCTGGCTCTGGGCTCCCACAGTCCTGCTGGGGACGCGACCCTGAGTGTCCTGCCCGCCTTCCTTGCGCAGGCCAACCGAGAGGCAGCCCCCAGAGGGGTTCACAGCGGGAACCCAGGGGGTTCCCGACTAGAGGAGCTTACCAAGTCCTGTCTTCAGCCACTCACTTTATTCCAACTTTCTTCTTCCCTCAGTCAAGCGAGTCTGAGGTTGTCTGCTTTGAGCATGCCAAAGACTTACAGAGTACAACTATTATTTATCTCCCCTGCACCTACTCTGTCTCTCCCTCTCTCCCTCTCTCCCTCTCTCCCTGTCTCCCTCCCTCCCTTCCTCCCTCTCTCTCTCTCTCTCTCTCTCTCTCTCTCTCTCTCTCTCTCTCTGAGATTATGTATATATTTTAGGGGCACTTTTGTCCAAGGGTTTATGACATTAGCCATACGATTTCTTGATTTGGTCCTAACATTTTCATGGAGAAACCTAGAAAATGAGAAGTTTCTTTGTAGTGTTTGAAATCAGAATTGGATTCCAAGGGTTTGTACCAGGAGTTAGGCACAGGGGAGTGTGAAGATGCAAAGTGTGTACTCCAGAGTGAGTGCCTGGACTGAGGCTGTTTGCAACCTGGCCCTGTACAGCCAGCCCCTTGTTACCCCGTCCTGGCTCTGCCACTCAGCAACTTCAGACAAGTCCCTGCAGCTCAGTGCATCCCTGCTCAGTGGAAAGGGGATGGGCAATGACAGACAGCTCAGTTTTTTTTTAATTTAATTAATTAGTTAATTAATTATTGTTGAAAGTATTAAAGATGCCCTCTTTTTCTCCTCCATTGACCTCCTCCAGCCCGTCCCCTGCCCCAGCCCCAGGCCCTTACCACCCCATATATGTATGGCCTCATCTGTGTCCATTGGCCATGCATATATGCATACAAGGTCCCTGGTTGATTATCACCCACCCACCCTCCTCCAACTTCGCTCTGAGATAACTGCACTCTGTTCCATGCTTCCATGTCTCTGGATCCACTCTGTTCATCAGTTTATTTTGTTACTTAGATCCCACATATGGTGCTCAGAAGTTTTAAGGTCCTCTGGGATTCTGGGGTCAATCTCTTCAATCCCACGTCTCCTCTGATTGTTTTACTTCAAACAGCCTCACTTCACCTCTGACTGTTTTATGGTCTGTGGCACCAAGAACCTGGCCCGAACTAGCTGCTTCTCTTTCAGAAGACAGGTACATTTTAGCTGGTGCATTCGACTGGAAAACACTTTATCATGGCTTGGAGCAAGAACAAATGTGGAACATTTTTGAAAGGGCATTTCTGATTCTGGGGACTCCAGTGCCTCTTTCATCATCAGCTGCCAGGTCTTATGATAAATTCTTATGAAACACTCTTGGCATGGAGACAGATGAGTGCATTGAGAGTCATCTTCAGCAGTTTTCATGGCACAGGGGTAATCAGAGACCGGAAGATGTCATCAGCCACTATCTGATCAGGCTTTTCATCCAGAAAATCCACTATGCGTCTGAGCACTTCGTTGTTGCATTTTAGTGTCTGAAACTCTTTTGGATGAGTTGGAAGTCTCCAGGGTTCAGGTTTAGAATTAGCTTCCTGTTTGAAAGAAACTGTGGACATAATTACTTCGTGTAAGTAAGGATGTGACCCCAGCATGTTATAGAATGCCCATGGGCCTCAGTGTCCTCCCTTGACAGGGATGAAAGAAGGTCACAGTGATTGAGAGCCTGAATTCCAGAGTCAAGCTGCCTCTGTCTGAATCCCTGTTTTATCCCATATGTTGTGGGTGATTTTAGGCGAGTTCTCTAACCTACTGGTCTGTTTCCTTATCTTAAATAGGCGAAATACTTTCTCCCAACAAATGGGAGGTGAGTAACCAATGAATGCTAGCTAAAGATGATAGATAGTACTTTCTATCAAGGATTATTGTTACAGTAGCTGCTTTTTTATTTTTATTTATTCCAAAGAGAAAGGTTAAAGGGAGAGATAGGAACATCAATGATGAGAATCATTGATCAGCTGCTTCCTGTACTTCCCCTACTGGGGATCAAGCCCATAACCCTGGCATGTCCCCTGAGCAGGAGTGGAACCATGATCTCCTGGTTCATAGGCCTATGCTCAACCACTGAGCCATACTGGCGGGGCATTTTTTAAAACATGTATATGAATGCTAGGCAAGAAACACATGATATAAATGTGCTGACTAAATTATAATAAATTATGTTCCTGTATTATAGTCCATATAATCTGTTTCAAAATACCCAGCACCATGTTCAGCTTTGCCCAGATTACAACATATTATCATGAGCAGTTCAACTCACAAGCTTCGAGATGCCTCCCTAAGCCTTGGTTCTGGACTAAGGTTGTGTAGAGACTATAGTCACAGAAGCTGGGGTAGATAAGAACTTCGAGGAGCCTTGGAAAGTCACTGCTGAAGACACGGTGGTGTGCACGCGGCATCTCAGTAGGCTGGCTTCTTGTCCCAAAGCTGAGGTTCTACAGTAACCTGGCCTTGGCAGCCTCCATCAGAAGTTGGGCAGCAGGCAAAGCCAGTTGGGGGAAATTGGGCCATTGTGGGAAAGGATGTCTGGAGCATAGAACTAACATGTTTTAGGCTGCATAGGTAGCCCTGTGAGGAATGAATTCATGAAATCTAGTTTCAGCTGCCCATCCAGACTCCAGTTAGCTAAGTATACTTTACAGCAGTGTTTCCCAACCTTCTCTCATGATGAGCATCACCTGGTGGAGTTGTTAAACCACAGATTCCTGAATCCCAACTAAGAAGGGCTAAACTAGGATTTTTGGGAACATATAGGTAAAATTGTATACTTAAGTAGTGCTAGAGCAATTTTACCTATATGTCCCCAAAAATTCTAGTTTAGCCCTTCTTAGATGGGATTCAGGAATCTGTGGTTTAACAACTCCACCAGGTGATGCTCATCATGAGAGAAGGTTGGGAAACACTGCTTTACAGTACCTTCAAATCACAGCCTCACTCTTCAAACATAGCAATGCTTCTCCTTCTCCTTTGGCCTCATCTCTGGTGTGTACCTGGAAAGAACTAGTGGAACTTGCTTAGAGAAGGTTGTGGGTGTGGATGAGAGAGACCTTCCCTGTCCTGATAGGATATCAGGTCAACCTGCTATAGAGGGAATCTTGGCTCAGTTACACTCTTGATATTCATTTGGTTCAATGCCAAGTGGGGTCCTATTTGTCCAACACATTCCCATAGTATCTCTCTTGTGGCCACTTAGACTGGCCAGTCTGACCCTAAAAGACTCCAGGAAGTACCTTTCAGGGCATGTGAACTTGGCCTTGAAACCAATGGGATAAATCCCACAAACCCCACAGGAGACTCCCAGTGATTCTCTACTCTAGAGAAGCAGCCGGGACAGCTGTGGGTTCAGAAGCTCTTGCTGGAGAGAAAAAATGAGTCACTGTGCCCAGGGCTACACAGCTATTAAGTGGCAGAGCTGGAGTTGACCTAGTTCCGTCTGTCTTGGAATCAAGCCCCACTCTTTATGGCCATAAGCCTGTGAGTGCCTGGTGTACAGGTGGGCCACCGGGGTTATGCCCTCTTTCCCTCTTAAGGCCTTGCTTCTTCGGTAGGTGGGTTAGCTTTCCTTTTGCCTCCTATTTCTAATGGGCTTCTGGGTATTATTCAGTATCACTGTGCAGACAGTGATGAAATGAAAATGTGTTTATGAAGATTTGACTCTAAATTTTAGGTTTTATTCTTTTTAGAGATTTATTAAAAAAAACACACATACAAAAAACAGTAAACAAAAAGTCCACACTTGAACTCTTTCTTTCCTCCTCTTCTCCAAATCTTAATGCTATTAGCACTTTCAAAGAGAATTGTACAATTTTCTCTCGAGCTCTTGACATGCTTTGGGGCCTAGCTGTGGGGATAGGGGCAGAGGAATAGCTAACATTTCTTAAGCATTTATTCTTACAGCTGTCCACACATGTTTAATTTTTAACTTCCCAGTAAGTTAGCTCTTTAAATGGTCATGTTAGAATTTAAAGACTTGGCATTGAATCCTGCACCCAGGTTCCTAATTGCATTGCTCTACTTCCCACAACTTAAAAAAAAAAAAAAAAAAGGAATACTTACACATGTTCTAAATTATGGATATTCTAAATATATAATGCTTGACATTAGGAGGCAAGCCATGGAATATGGCTGGACCTGAGTT